TGGTCAACAGGATTGGCAATGCCGTCGTACTCCTTCAATTGGGGAGGTTTCTCCTTTCCCCTGGGAATGGGTGCCTCCATGATTTCTTGGCACAAGGGACCGCATGGGTCGTCTTCATCACTTCTGTCCGGAGAGCAGGAGGTGGACCGGTTGTAATGACGGTCGTGGTGACGGCCCTGGCCCCGGGGAGGATCCCTTGGCCGAGGTTATGTTTCTTAGTTTCCCATGTTTCTGTTTACAGGGGATCGTCGCTCTCTACGCGGAGGGTGTGACCGTGCCTCCCTGTAGCGACGGGTTGGTTCCTCTCCAATGCAGGGCCTCGCCTAGTTCGTTGGGGATAAAGACATCGTGAGGCATCCCCTCTGAGCAACGGTTGGATGTGAAGTGGGGGTACCTGCAAGACACTCTGATTCCAAAGTGAGGTTCAGAGCCATGCAAGCAAGTATGAGAGAATGAATACTTGACCCTCTCAAGTGGGAGGGTATTTATAGCCCCGGGTGCTGGGCCAAGGTCTTCAGTGATGGGCCACGATGAGGCCCAACAAAGAAGACTTCCAGGATTTACATGTGTATGGAGTCCGGCGCGTGGCTTCCTCCCTGATCAACTACCCCGGGAAAGCAGAAGCTGGATTCGTTATTCTCGGAGGGTAGAATAACAATGATATGGACACGTACGCCACGCTCTTCTAGTGGACACGTGGGGACATGCCCAATGATTCTCAGCTTGGGTTGCGTGCTTTTGGTCCTTTGGTAAAGGCGCTGGGTTGGGCCTCCCCAACAGTGGGGCAAGTGTCAGCCCAGTCTAGAACAAGGATCTTTACTATTTATCGAGTTTAGGACGAGTCTGTGGGAGCGATATGTAGGTGGGTGGAGGGTACTTTTTTCTTGGGATCTTAGATGGCGTAGGTACTTTTTTGTCCATGAGAAACCTCTTGTAGCTAATTTCTTTTTGGTTCTCCGTGATGTCCGACTTAAAAAGGAGATAGATAGGTAGATTGGAGGCATAATATGGAAGTTGTCTTTTATTGGTATCTGTCTACCATCTCCAATTGTGCTATATGCCTCCCGTTGTTCCCCAAGTGGGAAATAAGCTTCCTACTCTTTCCAAAATTTGGGATAGTTGGGCCCCCTCTAAAGTGAAGGTTTTCCCTTGGCATGTTTTGCAAGATAGGTTACCGTATAGAGTAAATCTCTTCAAGATAAAGGTCTTAGTTGATCTGAACAACACCCATGCATCTTGCGTGGAGATTTTCTTGAGTCATCTTCATATATGTTTGTTACCTATAATTTAGCTTCTAGTGTTTGGTATAAGATTTTTGGTTGGTTGGGTTTCTAGATAGTTCTTCCTAGGAGTCCAAGTTCTCTTTTTGAGATCCTTAGATCTCTAGGTGATAAGGCTAAGATTAGAAGAGGATTTTATCTATGATCTGCCACGTTGTAGTTTGGAGCATTTGGTTAGTGCGTAATGATACAATTTCACTGGTGTTTCAATAAATGTGAAAGAGGTGAAGGAAAGAGTATTGTTTTGGATTGTGCTTGGTTTTCTTGCAGGTTACTAGTGAACTCTCTCCTCTTCTCATATTGGCTCTAGAATCTTATCATGCATATAAATCAATAAGTTTTTTTTAATAGGTAATGATTCATTCAAACGGAGTATAAGGGATATTCCACCCGGAAAAACAATCGGAAAGCTCCTACGTCCTAAAAACAAAGGAGTAGTAGAATATTCCAAGTATGAAAGTTACATGAGTTTACAATCTTACAATAGGAGTTTAACCACTTCCAAGCATTTGCAACTAACTCTGACATACAATGATCAAAACTAAAAGACTCACCCTTAAAGATAATTGCATTACACTTCAACCAAAAGCTCTAAGTCGTTGTTAACCAAATAACCGCAACAATTGACCTTTTAGAAAGATTCTTCACCTTTTCACAGTGATAAAAAAACATTCAAACTCTGTCAATGTTAACTCTTCTAACGAACTAATCCACTCGTACATTTTTCTCTAAATTTTCGTTGCTAACAAGCAATGACCCAAAATATGTGGTAAATATTCCTCCTCCAACAAACAAAACACACAAGATAAATCTCCACTATCCGACAAAATACCCCTCTTCTTTAATTGATCCTTTGTCGGAATTCTATTATGAATTACTTTCTATCCGAAAAATGAAATTTAGACGGGATTTTCACTTTCCACAAATGATTTAGAGCATTTACTATTAACGCCAGGAGAGGAGGACCAGACAGTTTTTCGCTAAAGCAGTCAAAATAAGATTTCACCGTGAAATTTCTGTCATTTTCCGACTGCCATGAAAAACAGTGACGTACAATCCCGCCCAGTAGAGCCTGAGCCAAAATAGTAACGCAAAACTCTTCCCAGATGAAACTTGAGATGCTTCTGTTGTCACTAATTAAGTCTGCAAGCATCCATGACCAGCCTTGGTCTCTCCATTGGCCCGCCGCAGCATTCGTAATATTGTCATCAACAACTTTTTCAAATATCTCAGGAAAATATTCCATTAAGGTTTGGTCACCACTTCATCTAGAATACCAAAAAGGAGTATCCATTTTGTTACCTACCACACCTGCAAAATTATTTTCCAATAGATTGACATAATTATATGATAATAAAAGGTCCCTCCACCAAATAGAATCATTTCTATTTAACACACTTTTATCACCAATAAGGAATTTAATTCCGGATTCACATATTGATAATTTAAAATGCGAATTCAAACTGCATCTTTCTCCTTCAAGATCCTCCATTTCCACTTACTTAGTAACGTCACATTCAAAATCTCCACATTTTTAACTCTAAGGCCATCATTATCATGCCGTTTGTAAACAATGTCCCAATTAACCTAATGAATTGTCCTCTTATTCTCGCTACCACTCCAAAGAAAATTTCTTTGAATCCTACGAATTTAATGAAGAATCTTTGATGGCGCTTTGTATAAAGATAATGAGTAAGTCGGAATAGCGTTTAACACCGAATTGATCAACACCACACGACCCGCAAGATTAAGATGATTGCCTTTCCAATAGTGATTATATTGGTTGGTCTTTCACTTGAGGTTTGCAGTGATTTTGGTTTTGCATGTTGTTCCTTTTTATGTTGATGGTGGAGCAGTAGTTTTGAGCTCTAGTCTGATTTTCTTTTGGATGGAGTTGCGGTTCTGGTCGACTATGGAGTTTTCTTTGTTTTCGTGGTTCCTGTGTGCTTTGTTTGGCTATTTTTTCTATTTTTTTAGAAGTGTGGAAACAGTTTGTTACACACAGATTTGTTTTAGATTTAGATAGGTTTGACTTAGATCTAAAATAAATAGATATGATTTAGTTCCAAAATAAGTATTTTGGACTTTTGTAGTTTTGGGCTTTGGCTTAGGGAGTAAGCTAACCTAAAATTATAAATAAAGGGAGTAACCCCTATTTTTGTAATCAAGTCAATTTATTGTATTCACAGAATTTGCAGTTGCAAGTGTAATAAAGTTTTCCACAGTTTGTGGATAGAGAGAAACTATGCAGAAAATTAATTGTCTTGTTTCTTTTCTTTTCTCTTAATTCATTGTCATTGTGAGGTGATATCAATCTTATTTATCAAGATTGATAGAAATTTATCATAGATATTTGGTGGATTTGCAAGAGTTGTTGCCTCTTTGGCACTTCCTATGTCTTGTATCTAACTTTTGGTTTCCGTGACCTTTTCCTTGATTATTTATTTATATATATTATTTGACATTAAAAAAAGATCCTATCATCGGTAAAAATCATATATCTTGGTGCTAACTTTTGGATGTGTACCGTCAGTACATTCAAAATAAAGTAAAGTGGTAGGAGCTTGTGTTTGAATTTTAGTGCAATTCTATTGTAATGGGAAAATAGTGTGTCGCTCTACCAAATGTCCGCAAGTCGACACCACCCCCTTCATGCATATTTTATATAGCTCGAATAAAGGCAATCCTAACATCTTTCTTCTCCAAGGCATTCCACAAAACCTCTCTAGATACTCTATCGTACGTTTTCTCAAAGTCAATAATGAAAATTAAGTGCAAGTCTTATTGGTACATCCTATACTACTCCATCACACTTTGTAGTAGATAGATCGCTTCTATGATCGACCTTCAAGACATAAAACCAAATTGATTTTTCAATAAATTGAGTTTTTTTCTTAGTCTTCCTTCAATCACTATTTTCCATAAACTTAATGGTATGACTCATAAGTTTAATCATTTATAATTTTCTCAATTTTGAATATCATCTGGTTCTTATAGATTAAAATAGTATTTATTCTCTGTTCATCCAACATTTTCTTTGACCTCATAATTTCGTTAAAGAAATTTGGTGAGACACTTAATGCCTCTAACTCCACAAAATAAAAAAGTATACGCTTCACTGAGTATGTCAATCGTGCATTAACAACAACAACAATAACAACTAAGTTGTATCCCACTAAGTGGGGTCGACTACATGGATCAACTTTTACCATAATGTTCTATAAAGTCATATTTTTATCCAAATTATTAATCTCAAGATCTTTATTAATAACTTCTCTTATAGTTTTCCTAATACTTCCTCTACCTCTAGCTATTTGACTATCTCCATCTTATCTACTGCACTTACTAATATTTACTAAGGGATCTTCTCTCTACAAGCACAAACCACCAAAATCTATTTTTCACTATTTTTTTTCTATTATAAATGCTACACCAACAGTATCTCTAATTTTGTCATTTCTAATCTTATCATATTCAATCTTATCACACATTCAACACAATATCCTCATCTCTCACTTTATTTATATTTTAAAAAGAATTTACAACACTAAATAATGTTTTTTTTTGTCTGATTAGATATTTACATCTTACCTTTTTCCTCTCGCTCGCTTACAGACATCCAAATTGTAATTAAACATTATAAAAGCAAAAAGAGTTTATGTACATTTGCATATTTAAGCCAAAGTTGGCAAGTAGTATCATAGATTAAGAGAAAAGTTAATGGACACTACTTGGATTCTGTTTGTGACACCAATTTTCCCGTGCACTTTGATCCTCTACTACAGAAACAGGCTTAGTCTTAAGCTCAAATCAAAACGCGAAAATTAGCTTCCACTAGGCTCTATTGGATGGCCTTTTATTGGTGAAACCATAGAGTTTGTTTCTTGTGCTTACACCGATCGCCCTAAAAGCTTCATGAACAAGCGACGTGCCATGTAAGTTCATCATCATGCATCACTTCATTCATAGCTAGCTTTGTATGAATCCATTTCAAAGTTATAACATGACATAAAATTTGTGGTGTGTTGTTGCAATTTGTTGTAGGTATGGTAAGGTATTCAAGTCACACATTTTTGGAAGTCCTACCATTGTTTCAACAGATGCAGATGTGAACAAGTTTATACTACAAAGTGATGCAAAGGTTTTTGTTCCTTCTTATCCTAAGTCATTGATGAAGTTAATGGGAGAATCTTCTATTTTGGTCATCAATGGAACCTTACACAGAAGAATACATGGACTTATTGGAGCTTTCTTCAAGTCTCAACAGTTAAAGATTCAGATTACAACAGATATGGAGAAATATGTTAAAGAATCAATGGTGAATTGGAAAGAGGGCCAACCTATATACATACAAGATGAAACAAAAAAGGTTACCTCTCTGTCTCTATAGGAGTTTGTGCCTATCTTTGTTTGTTTCTTTCTGCCTTGTGTGTTGGTGTCAGAACCTATCTTCAAAGTTTGAACTCTTAAATTCACTATTTAATCCAAGATACTAACATTGCCACAGATTGCATTTCATGTACTAGCCAAGGCATTGATTAGCTTGGATCCAGGTGAAGAAATGGAGCTTCTAATAAAACATTTTAAGGAATTTATATCTGGCCTCATGTCTTTGCCAATAAGCCTACCAGGAACAAAACTTTATCAATCTTTACAGGTCAATTGATGAGATTGCTTTCTTTTTATAGTAAGCTTTTGGCGTGGTAGCAATAACGACTTCACATTTGGTTTCAGGCAAAAAAGAAAATGGTGAAAATAGTGAGAAAAATTATACAAGCTAGAAGAAGTAAAGGTGTCACGGAAGTTCCAAAAGATGTAGTAGATGTGCTTCTTAACGATATAAGTGAGAAATTGACCAATGATTTAATAGCAGATAATATCATTGATATGATGATTCCTGGAGAGGACTCGGTTCCAGTTCTTATGACTCTAGCTACTAAGTACCTATCAGAATGCCCCGATGCTTTGCAACAACTGATGGTATGTTATGTATGTATATATAAATGTCCGTAACACATGGCTTGAAAAATGTTCTTAAACTGATTTCTTGGTTAGCTTTTGGTAACTGAACATTGACGATTACGATTCGCAGGAGGAAAATATAAAGCTCAAGAAACTCAAAAATTAGCTTGGGGAGTCTTTGTGTTGGAGTGATTACTTATCATTGCCATTTACTCAAAAAGTAAGCAAAACATGGCTCCTTATCAAACACAAAGTGTTCAATAATTTTAAACTTATTGTATGTTCCACTTGTTCAGGTTATAACAGAAACTTTGAGGATGGGAAATATTATAGTTGGTGTTATGAGAAAGGCCGTAAAAGATGTTGAAATAAAAGGGTATTTAATACCACAAGGATGGTGTGTGTTTGCAAATTTTAGATCAGTTCATCTAGATGAGAAAAACTATGAGTGTCCATATCAATTCAATCCATGGAGGTGGCAAGTAAGAGAAAAATCCTATACTATTTTAATCTTAGTATAATTTATATGGATCTGAGTTGTGTGCAATCACAACTTAGTGACTCCATGCACTCAGTTACATCCAAACTATCATAACAAGATAAACCATTTAAATTTTTAGTATTGAAATCTAAACTATAAAATTAGTATTGCAATATAAATTGTCTAATCTTGATCAAACTGTTTAGATGTGGTTTACCGTGCAATCAAAATCTTCTAACCATATGAAATCCTCATACAAACATATCTGAATTGTCCTATCAAGATATAAGACGGTTTAAATTTTAAACATTAATATCTAAATCTTGAAATTGATTTTTATTTAAATAAAGACGGTCTAATCTTGTTTAGATAATTAAGATGTGGTTTCTTTCAATGGCATGTTATATTTTTAGCCTAATTGATTTCTTTGTTTGACTTCAGGATAAGGACATGAACAGTACCAATTTCAGTCCTTTTGGAGGGGGACAAAGGCTGTGTCCTGGTATTGACTTGGCCAGGCTAGAAGCTTCCATATTTCTACATCACCTTGTTACTCAATTCAGGTAGTCATAGTATACAGTCCTATTATGCATTTTTATGCTCACTTGAAGAATTTACTTAAGCTAGTTTCAGACATTTGATGAAAGTTAAAAAACATAATACAATGATAATTAGACATGTTAAATATAATGTTCGACATGCAGATGGTATGCTGAAGAAGATACAATAGTGAACTTCCCCACAGTAAGAATGAAAAGAAGGATGCCCGTCTTAGTAAACAGAATGGAAATTTAAGGTGTCTTAGCTAAAAAAGTATGAAGCCACTTCTACATATTCATATAGTACAGCAAATATATGAAAAATACACAAGACAGAATAAAAGATGATTAATGGGGGGAGCTTCATTAGCTTTTGTTTTGTTCCTTTATTTTTGCATTTATTCATACATTACATAGGATGATTGAAATTGGAAACTAGACTAAATATACGAGGTCCCCTGCCTTTTATCATGAATCTATAACTATATCTAATTCTAAATGCGATTTTTAAACTCATCTAACTTTTTGTTATTTTGCTTAAACTTGTTCAACATACAAGCACCATTAAATTTAATTTTGAACAATCATTAACCATCTAATGTGTTGGGGCCTTCAATCATTAACACAATTGGTCCCTATATATGGACACCTTTTAATTAGTATACATCCACTCAACACATACTCCTTAGGTTTAGAAATTTTTGATGTTGTTCTTTACTAATATTCGTAACTATCTTCAAATCCATAATTTTCTCAAACTTATTATAACCAATTTTCTCAAATTTATTATTTCAATTATTCCAATAACTGTACATTAAATGCGATACACAGTATCAAACTGAGGTATACACCGAACCACAATTTGATCCAATTTAAACAGGATCATTTTGTTTGGATCAGATTTTGGAACACCCCTTTACTCAATCAAGGGTTGGAAAAGGGTTGAACTTGAAATCAATGGGAGAATGGAACCGCCTGAATCTAATTCTCAGGACAGCGAAGCAACAGATGCGCCAAAATAGAACAAGCTCCACTCCTTGATGTCAATTTTTGACTAGCCGTTGAGTTACCAGTGGGAATCTTCAACTCCAGTGTTGAAAATGAAACTCGTAAATACTGTGGTTACCTCCCTGGCAAGTGACCAAACAAAAATGAAAGCTTGAACTCAGTCCGAACCAATTCATTCCAAACCATTGAATTAAAAGAGGTAAGGCATGGGAGTATCTTACTTCAGATTAGGAAGAGTCAGGTGCCTTAAGAGTGAGGGGTTCCGAATGACAAACTCCCTCCACTCTTCTTTACTTATTCTATCATCCTTGTCAGCATCAGCCTCTTGAAATGTCTGGTTTTTATTTAGAAAAAGGTTTCATAAATGGTTGAAGTTAAACACCATAAGAGAGTAAGAAATGGTTCCAGCAATAATTTACCTTATCAATGATGGCTTCAAGGATTTCATTTTCAACATACATGCCACATTCTGATAAAATGGCAGCCACCATTTGTCGAACCTGGAAAAATTAGTAGGAGAACAAAATAGTAACTTACAAGCATTGGTAAACATAAAAGTATTGGGAGAAACAAGTTATATGAAAAAGTAGAGCCCTCATGGCGGTTATTGGAACTGGGATTTAAACATTATTCAGAGGACAAACCACTGCCACTTTTATTCGTTAACTCGTAATTTAAATTTATATTGCAATATGAAAATTTCTAGTGCAATACATTCTAGGATAACAAAAATATGTTTGAGCCAATAACACTTTCGTAACCTGGATGTGCCAAAATACTCACTTCTTCTCGTTCAATGTATCCAGTCTGTCTCAAGTCATACAACCTAAAAGCAACTGCAAACAAACCAAGAAAATATAATATATATTTTAACAATGCCGATGGTATTAAAACAAATAATATAAAAATATAGAACTGCAAAATGCTTACTGAGTCTTACAATCAATTTTCTTTTCCAAAGGAGTATTAGGATGAAAGACACTGAGAGCATGCACAAACTCCTCAAATTCTATAACACCATTCTTTTTTTCATCAAAGAGATCAAACACCTGGGAGATTTTACAAACAGTCAACAAGGCTCAGTCATACAACTCCTAAAGGAAGAATAGATATAAACAACATATCTTTCTGCAAATCAGTTATATACATATATGTCTAAATTTTAAAATGATAGATTGCCACAAACTGAATGCACCAATCCCTTGTATATCATAGAAGGTAGACAATGCATAATTAGATGTTGAAACAGCAGAAATACATCGGCCAATCTGTAAGATACATCTTAAAATATCTCTGTCAAAAGAAAATATACATATTTGATCTTTTTTACAGAATTTTACTCGCAACAAACAGCTAGGAAATTATATCAGTCCAGCACAACAATTTAAGTTTGTGAGGCAAGGCAACAATTAGGACTTACAGATATACAACTTCGAAAGGAATGATACAGAAAACATTACAGTTTGATGTTTACATAATATAAATTGTACTGGTTAAATCATTCATCGGTCTATAACAGCCAGTAATGACCTAAAGGAAATTCTGAAGGAAAATTAGAGTGAAAAAACTAATAATTGGAGCCCTCAGTATTCTCATTTAATTTATGAACAGAAATTTATCTTGTGGAAGTCCAAATTTGTGAACATAGAAACAAAAGACCATTGAAACAAAAGATCATACATAAGTTAATCATATTGATGAAATAGATCCAGCTTTAGAGATTTAAGCCTGAGATAGAAACCATATTTAAACTTAATAAAACTAAAGATGAAATTGGAGATGATAACGCTACAATGGTGGAACTTGATAAAAAAATCTTAAAGGGGTAGGTTTAATATGCTTTGGGGTTTTAGTTTACAGATTCCAAGAGATGAAAAGTACTTGTAGAAAAATGAAGAGTTGTATGAACAAAAAGAAAATATGAGGTAGGAAAATAGTTCCAGAGATTCATCCCAGTTTAACCAAATGCAGGGGTGTGAAAATAATTCCACATATTCACCCCCAATTCACCCAATGCAAGGGTATGAATGTATTTGATCTTCCTTAAAAGGTGTTTTCCTTGCAAATCAAATTTTGACTTCCTTAATACATACAATAAGGCCTCATGAATGAAATCAAGAAAACAAAAAGAGAATCAATAACAGTTTGAAAATTTTGAAAATGAACATACCCTATCAAGGAAAAGATTCTTGCCAACTGTGGTCTTCAATAGTGCCAGTGTAAGCTCTTCCTTCATAGAGAGTGATAGGGAAAAAAGAGTTAAAGGGTGCAATCTAACCAAATATTCAACGCTAGTACTGGTAAAAATAAACCTAACAGTCAACACCATACATATACTAAAATTAGGATAGAAAAAGACAAGCCCCGATCTCAAATCACAATCTAAGTTGTTATTTTCACATAATTCCATTTAAGTTAGCAGCATTGTAGTAGAATATCTTTGTTATTTTCACAAAGTAGTAATAACCACTAGAAACTCATACACACAACCGTCAGTACCAGAGTTCAAACCCTAACAATAACTATATCAGCTTCTGTCAGTTGAGTTAGAATTCACAGATGAATTGAGTGTTTGTTTACTTGTAAATAAACAGAAAAGAGAGTTAGTTACTTTATGGATAAGACCATCGTCAATGATTGAACAACTCAACTTCTTGTACAGCTCATGCAAAGCCTCTACTTCATTCACATTAACTGCCACAAATCACAATTACAAAATTAAAATCATATAATTAGCGTTTACCGAACAAACACTGATTAAAGATTAAAAAATGGAGTAACGAACAAGGAGAATCATTAGCGAGAGCGAGAATATCCTCGAAAGTAGAAGAAAACTTCTTCTCTTTCTTCTTCTGCTCTGAACTACGGAAACTGAAGCAACTTGTTAAGCCATAAAACAAAGCTTCAGCGATTGCGATCACCGGAACGAACACCACGCACAGTGTTTCTCCGAAAGTTAAACTCGATCTCTGATGATTACATGAATAAACAACGAAATTCAGACTTTGATTTTCTTGATAGCGAAACAGAAATTGAAATCTAAAAATTTTAGAAAAATTGGGGTACCGCTGATAGAGAGTTGTCCATATCATATCACCTTCGGGTAATATGGAAAATTTCTCCAGCGATCACGTCATATACATCGAAATTAGTTTTTTGTATTACGATGTTAATGGATTTGGATTGGATTCGTAATTAAAACAGAAAAGAATCATTATTCTCATGAAAAAATCATGGCAAAATTTTGCTCTCTTGACTATGGGTCATGATTCATTTTGATCCCTTATCTTTTTTTTTTTTATTTTATCAAAATGGTCCCTTAAGTTTCAAAACGCAATTAGGTTAGTCTTTTCGTTAATGAAACGTTAGTGAAATACAAAAAGCTGACTCTAGCTGGCAGTTGTCATGCTTAAAGTGACTTGTTGGAGGCAATGTGGCAGAGAATAAGGACAGAAAATCTTTCAAAGCTGAAGATAGGAAATGCATGTTCTGTTAGCCAAAAACGAAAGCCAAAGGAAAGAGGAAGAGGCTTGCGAAGCTTGAGAAGGTGACTTTGTAGGTGATTGCTTTCCAGGTATGTTATTCTTGTTTTGTCTTCGTAACTGGATATTTGATATAGGATGTTGAATATTTGTTATGGAATTTCTGCAATTTAGGTATAATGGATGAATTTCTGAAACTCGTAATCCACCACAGTGGTGAGTTCTTTGATCCAGAGCTTTGTGTCTATGAAGGAGGTCTGGTATCTGAATTGTCAGTAGATGTTGATAGGTGGAGTTACATTGAGTTAGTTGGTGTATTGAAAGACTTAGGTTATATGGACAATATAGAGAAAATGTATTACAAAGACCCATAATTTGGGATGAATGAACTAGTTGATGACAAAGGTGCCATAAAAATTGCAGACCTATACAAGGTGCACCATATTGTTAATATTTACATTCAACACAGTTTGTCTCAACCTGAGTATTTTGATGCTCCTGTTGAGGATCCTGAGAACATTGTAGATGAGATGGAGGAGTTGCTTAGCAAGCTGCATGATGACATTGACGGAAAATTAAAGGAGATTGTTATTGGTGTGAATGAAGTTAATGATGGATTGAATGATCCAAGTGTTGTTGTGGAACAGAGTAATGCTGGATTGAATGATGCAAATGTAGCGATGGACATGAATGTCGCTCATACACTTTCATTTCAGACCAACAGAAGGTACACTAAATACTTCACAACATCTTTACATTTATCTTATTGTTTTCTTGATAATTTACTATTAGTTATGAATCTATTTTACAGAGACTTTTACCTGCAATGGAAGAGTTGCTGCCCAATGTTGAACACCGATTTTGTGTTAGGCATCTGTATAACAATTTCAGGAAGAGATATCCTGGAAAAACATTCAAGGATCTTATCTGGAAGGCTGCTAAATCTACATACTCACAAGCTTGGGAAAGAGAGACGAGGGCAATGAGAATGATCAGTGGAGAGGCATATCTCCACATGATGAAGACTCCACCAAGATATTGGTCTAGATCATATTTTAGGACTACCAACAAGTGTGATGTTGTGCTCAACAATATGTCAGAGGCATTTAATAGTGTTATTGTTGAAGTTAGGGCTAAACCACTAGTAACAAAGCTAGAGGAGATTAGAACTTACATGATGGAGAGATGGGCAAAAAACATAATGAGGTTCCAAGACATATCTGGTAATGATATTTTGTCCAACATTAAAAAAAATGGACATAACAAGTGCCTACACAAACTTATGACTTGTCAAGTATGGTCTGATAATTTTTAATTGTAAACTGTTAATTGTTAATTGCAAACTGTTAAATGTTATTGTTAATGTTAAATGCAGAATGTCAGATGAGCATATGTTTGAAGTAAGGCATGTGGAAAACCCAACTGAAACATTCACTGTGAACTTGAAGGATTACTTGTGCTCCTGCAGAAGGTGGAAACTCACAGGACTTTCATGTGTCCATTCCATATTAGCCATGAAGAGTAGGAATTTTAAAGTTGATGATTACATTCCATATTATTATAGGGTATTTAAGTACAAAGCAGTATATAGGTATGTACTTTATCCTGTGAATGGATCTAATCTGTGGGCCAAAACTCAATATCCTGATGCGCAGCCACCTAAGTTTAGAAAGATGCCTGGTAGACCAAAGAAAAGGATAAACCTTGAGCAAGGGGAGATTGATGACACTGACAGAAAATTGAGAAGAACTGGTTTTATTATAAAGTGTTCTAGGTGCAAGAAAATTGGACATAACAAGAAAACCTGCAAAGTCAATGCAACACAAGGCACTGCATCTTAAACCACTGCAGCTCAAGGCAATGCAGGGCAAGCCAATGTATCTCAAACCACTGCAGCTCAAGGCAATGCAGGGAAAGCCAATGCATCTCAAGCCATTGTAGCTCAAGGAAATGAAAGGCAACCCAATGAATCTCAAACCACTGCAGCTCAAGGAAATGCAACTCAAAACAATGCTACACAAACCACTACAAGTCAGGTTGCAGCAACACAAGCATCAGTTGCACAGGGTTACATGAATGCAATTCCGTCTTCACAAGGAAAGTTAGTACCAGGGCAAGGCATAAAGGAGAAATCTAGAGGAATTGGAAAGCTATAAAAACTAGGTGTGAGAAGGCCCTTTGTACCCCCAGGACCAATAACAAGACTCTCAACAGCCAAGAATGCAACTGGTCCTACCACTAGGCGATCTACTCCAACCAAGAGAAGCACATCAAAGAGGACCGTCTAGTTATAATTTTAGGGTTTATGTATTTTGGAACATCTCTATGTAACGTGTCATTCTGTCAACTTTTTGAAACATGTCTATGTAACATGTCAATATTTTGGAACATACTTATGTAACATGCCAACTACGTATTTTCAGTTTAACTAATCTGATGTGTTCATTTACTGATAAAATATGCCCAAAATTATTTTGACTTTCATTGTTGTTGTTGAATTAAGATAGATGATTGAGAAGATGATAAAGATGAAGTATCTTTCAGGCTTCTTGTTTCTCAATAATTGATGCTCACAATTGTAATAATGTGTCACACCTGATTTGCTGCTGAAAACTTACTTATATATGTAACAGAAAACAGTTAAAGACAAGAATTCGCATTATGAGTCGATACATGTTAGCATGAGTCGACTCATGTTAGTTATACAACACAAAATGAGTCGATGCAACTTGTTATGAGTAGATGCAAACTGATGCTACAACATATTACAGAGCCAACCACTTTACATGAGTCAATACATAACACGTATGTGTCGACACATACTGAATTGAATTTTGATTTTTGAATATAAAATGTGCTATGTGTCGATGCATGGAGTTATGTATTGATGCATAAAAGTTGAAACTTTTTTTCCAGGAACATCAACATATCATGTGTCGATGTATGAAGTTATGTATCGATGCATAAAGGTTGAAAATTGTATTCCAGGAGCATCAACATGTTGTGAGTCGATGCATGGCACGGATGTGTCGACTCATACGATATGCCAAACTGATATGCTTTGATTAATAACATGCCAAACAAAATAAGTCTTATTAAACTGATAACATGTGTTAAAATTACACATAAGCTTGCACATAAACTTCCCAAACTGAAAAAATTACATACAAATTGCTACATACTCCTACTTCTAATACAGCTTAATGACAAATACACATAACACTATAAAACACAGAATCTTCAATATTTTTTTCCACTTCAACATCTTGTTGAGTTGAATTTGAAGTTCTAACACAACATCCCTTAATGAGTTTGAGGTTTGAATGAGTTGGAACGAAAGATATCAACAAAAAATAAATGTATAAAAAGGAAAGACAAACTTATCCGACTCGAATGTACTCTTTTCGTCACAAACTTAAAATTATCGACCAGTTATACTCAACCTACAATATTCATCAATGCCATCGCATGTCAAACATAACACCCATTGTACCACCTCGATGGTGATCTCTCAACCAACCTTAACAACACATAAGTCAATTATGCTCTATGGCATCGATCTCTCAGAGCGACACAAACAACACAGAGGAATTAATCAGACATCCTAAGTGAATGTCAACTCTAAATATATCTCTAGAATCCAAAAACTAACAGATGATCATCATATATATGAATCCAAGCAGTATATGTCTATAGCGACTCAAATCCCTAGCACAGAGCAAAAATCAAGGATAACAAACGACAAAGATTTATAAAGCAAGTTTCATACAACGCCATAGGCGACAAATATACATGATTTCAAAGTAAAAAATACATACAAAACCCAAAAAAAAAGAGAAATACATAGAGAGGAGAAGAGATAAACCATAAATCTTTCGGTTTGTCAATATCGGTCGATAAGAAATCCACCTTCAATCATCCATAAGCAAAGCCCTATTGTTGTTTTCTAAGTTAATCTATCAAAAATAAGGTTGATGAAATTTGGGAACAAAAACACCCCAAAAACCATAACAAAAAATGAACTGAAAATGAAGTTATAAAAAAAATATCAGACAACTGTGTTTAGCGGGCTCACCGCACTAAGCAAGTTGCGCGATATTTACACATTAAACCGACCTAAACCGCACTAAGCACGTTATCCGTGCTAAGCGGGCTCCAAAACTAAGCTACTACCAAAATGTCAAAACACAAGCAGCGCACTACAAAATATGTTGAGCGCACTCGGGCTTAGCGGCCTTTTTGCACGCTAAGCGGGCTCTCCTGAGCAAAACTTCTAAAAACTGGTCTTTTATTCCGAAAATGCGCATTCGGAGTCGTGCCTTCGACACCTTATTCCTCGATGCTCCAAAATGCAACAAATACCTACAAAATGAATGGAAAAACATCAAACGGTACACTATGTACACAAAAGCACAAATAAATATAAACTAAACGTATTTACATAAAAGTCGGGATTATTCAACTGATATTAACAACAAAGATTCGATAAGTGTAACAAAAAGTATATACAAAAATAGCTACAATTTGCACTTATCAAACTCTCCCTGACTTGAACTTGTTTGTCCTCAAACAAGGTCAAACAACTCAAAGAACCAAAAGTAATCA